AGAAGAGGGAAGGGAAGGAGGCAAGGGAAGGGAAGGAGGCAAGGGAAGGAGGGAAGAAAAGAGAAGAGGGAAGGGAAGGGAAAGAGGGAAGGGAAGGGGGGAGGGAAGGTGGGAAGGGAAGGAGGAGAGGGAAGGGAAGGGAAGGTGGGAAGGGAAGAGAAAGAGGGGAGGGAAGGGAAGGAGGGAAGAGAAAAGAGAGGGAAAGCAAGGGGAGAAGTGAAGGGAAAAAGGGAAATGAAGAAGAGAGGGGAGGGGAAGGGGAAAAAAAGCCTCACAGGTGTTTTCCATGCACAAGAAGGCTATCTATAATTATTCAAGCCAACAGGTCACTCCAGGTACATATAAAAAACAAAGCAGAGCTCGGCATGGTGGCTTCATGTGGACCAGCCTACAGTAGGCGCTCAGCAAACCCTGGCAGCTGGCATCTCCCAGCCTGGGGAAATTCTTGGTTCCCTGAGCCTTTCTGTGTCTGGGTGGGGGTGGAAAACCCCAGGAGTCCTGGCTCTGGGTCACAGCCAAGTATGTTGGAAAATCTCAGTGGCCAGGAGCCCCACTTTGAAAAACCCCTCCAATCACGCCAGGGTGGAACAGGACGGGCAACATTTCCAGGGAAAGGCATTTTAAAGACTTACCTCCTTGTCGATAGTTTTGTAGCCACACATGGTGTTGACAACTTCTGTCTGAAATGGAAAAGTATAATAGCTAATATTTATAATGCTTCTAACTCTAAAAGGCGCTATTATCCTACCCATTTTACAGATGAAAACTGAGGCACAGAGTTGCACTGTCCAGCAGGGATGGAGCTGAGATTCCAACCAGGCAGTCTGGCTTGAGTCTCCATCATAACCAGCTCATCCTCCAAGAAATGCCCAGTGAAAAAACTGTAGGAATGCTAGTTCCATGGCTTTTACATGGGAGAACCTTAGGTGGGCTGCCAAGGAACCCGCACACAGAGGTCCTCAACACATATTTGTTAACCAAGAAAATAAATGGATGAATGAATGAATTGGTGGTGATGATCAGAGAACCCACCTCCTAGGGCTATTTTGTACGTTAAAGTAAGACACACTGGTACCAAAACAGAGATATAGACCAATGGAAAAGAACAGAGGCCTTGGAGGCAACACAAGACATCTACAACCATCCGATGTTTGACAAACCTGACAATAACAAGCAATGGGGAAAGGATTCCCTGTTTAATAAATGGTGTGTGGAAAACCGGCTAGTGATGTGCAGAAAGCAGAAACCAGACCCCTTCCTGACACCTTACACTAAAATTAACTCCAGATAGCTTAAAGACTTAAACGTAAGACCTAACACCATAAAAACCCTAGTAGAAAATCTAGGCAAAACCACTCAGGACACAGGCATAGGCAAGGACTTCATAACCAAAACACCAAAAGCAATGGCAACAAAAGCCAAAATAGACAAATGGGACCTAATCAAACTCTACAGCTTCTGCACAGCAAAAGAAGCAGTCATTAGAGTGAATCGGCAACCAACAGAATGGGAAAAAATTTTTGCAGTCTCATATCCAGAATCTCTACAAAGAACTAAACAGATTTACAAGAGAAAAACAAGCCCATTCAAAAGTGGGCAAAGGATATGAACAGGCACTTTACAAAAGAAGACATACATACCATGCATCCCTGGTCTTTCCAAAAATACAGCCTGCCTGGGTTTGACCGTAGAATCAGTATGCTACAGGAGGCTCTTGTTCACAGGCCCCAAAACCAGGGTCCAGTGGCCTCTTCCATCCTGCACAGGGCCACAGGACAGGAGGTCAGAAAGAGGACTCCTGGGCAGCCAAAAGATCACAGCAGTGTTCGTGTGTGTATCCTTTCACCCTGAGCAGACTGAGCAGCTCACGGGACGGGGAGAGGGGCCTTCAGGACAAGTCCCCAAGGGATAGCCAACAATGGAGGGAAGGTGCATGAAAATTGGTCCCAAGAGCTCAGCAGGTACAGCACATGGAGCCATTTAAGGTAGAAGCACACTGCCCTCTGCACCAACAGCTCCCAGGGCTATATCCTGGTGTAAGCAGATTTTACAGGCTTATGTGAACATCTATGGCTCAAATCCTCTATAGGAAGCTCATGTAAGACATGTCTTTTAAAGATGAGTGTTAGGGAAAAAGTTACTTTCCCTGAGGAACTGAGATGTTCTGCTGAACAGCAACAATATAACAGACCATGTCTCCCTTTTCCCTTTGGCTGCCAGGAAACTCTAAGCCAGCACTCTCCAACCTTTTTGGCACCAGAAACAGGTTTCAATTTTTCCACAGGATGGGGTGGGGGCTGGGTGGAGACAGATGACTTTGGGATGAAACTGTTCCTGATTCTCATAAGGAGCACTCAGCCTAGGTCCCCTGTATGCACAGTTTACTATAGGGTTTGCACTCCTGTGAGACTCTCACGCCGCTGCTGATGTGACAGAGATGGAGCTCGGGCGGGAATGCTCCCTCACCCGCTGCTCACCTCCCCCGCTGCTCACCTCCTGTTGCATGACCTGCTTCCTACCAAGCCACTGACTGGTACTGGCTCACGGCATGGAGGTGGGGGAGCCCGCTCCAAGCCAGCAGACACTGGGCTCAGCTCCTTCCAGTGAGTCCATGAGGCCCTGAGGTTTATATAGCAGTATTTTATATTTTTCTCCATTGTCTAGTCCTCCTATCTGAGAAAACAATTTCCACAGCCCTGATTTTTAATGTTATTTTAGTTTTTTACACTACATTATTTCCTGGGTACTCATTCAAATCCCAGGTTGAATGGTGTAGCATAAAATAAATAATTTGGATACAAATCAACCAGCTCTACCGAGGAAGGGAACACCCTGTTTCACATTTAGAGAAACTCATCCAGCTGGGGTGGCACAGGGAGAATCAGTGGTAGTGTGTAACCCAGGTTCAGATAACCCCAGCCAGGGTAAGGTCCCTCCCTGCCCCAGTGCTCTCCTTCACATGCTCTCTGCAGACAGTGACCATCTTTACACCCCCAGCCCAGTCATCCCAGGACTTCAGACTCCTATTCCAACTGCACCTTTGACCTCCCTGCTGGGATGCTGAACAGGCTCTCAAACCCCCCATGTCCACGCTGAGCTCCTGGTCACTTAACCTGCCTCCTTGCGGTCCTCCCCTCTCAGGCAGTGGCAGCCCCGTCCTTCCTGTGGCTCAGACCAAAACCTCAATACCTCCTTGATTTCTCTCTTTCACTCACCACCCACATCTGATACACCAGCAAATCCCGTAGGCTTACTTGTAAAATATAGCCAGAATGTCACCACGTTTCGCCACTTCCACCGCCGCCACCGCCACCACCACCCAGCTCCGAGCATCTGTCTTCTCCTGCCTGGGGCCGGAATGCTGTGGGGAGCCCTTAGCTGTCAGCCCCCTGCAGTAACTACTTCATGTGATCATTCATTTTATATGTCAACATGACCGGCCCATGGGACACCCAGATATTTGGCCAGACATTATTCTGGGTGTCTCTGCATGAGGCTAATGTTTAAATCAGCATTGAGTAAAGCAGATGGCCCTGCCCAAGGGAGAAAGGTCTCATCTGATCACTGAAGGTCTGAACAGAACAAAAGCCCCTAACCCTACCCCTCCATCTACCGTGTCCTGCACCACAGCCAGGCAGATCCTGGTAAAACCAAGTCAGAATGCCACTCTTCCACTGTGGCCCTGTAGGGCCCCTGTCACTCAAGGGCGCCCCACAGTCCTGCCTGTGGCCTTCGGGGTGCCCACGACCTCCCTGACTCCACCTCCTACCATCATCCCCCGTGCTCCTCTGCCCCAGCCACTCTGTGCCATTTCTCAAACACCCTGGGGTGATTCCCATCTGAGGCCTCTGCACACGCTGTTCTCTCTGCCAGGCATGCCCCACCCCTAGGCACCTTCCTCACTTTCTTCAGAGCTTCACCCAGATCCCACCTTTCTCAGTGTCCAAAACTACAATTCATTTTTCTCCTTAGCATTTATGACCCTCTAACTATCTTTTACTTGTTTGGTCAGTTTTCTCCACTAGGACGTCACCTCCACGTGGGCAGAGACTTCATTTGCTATACCCCCAGAACGTGGAAATGTGTCTGGCACAGAGTAGGTTCTCAGCTAATATTTGTTGAATGAATGAATGAATGAATGAATGAATACAAGTTCGGCTTACACATCTCAGCTTGGGCATTCAGGTGCTGCTGCCCTGGGTGAAGTTCAGGATCGCCCCATGCAGGCCTCTTTGGAAACTCTGCTCCTCCTCAGCATCCCCCCTTCCCAGAGAACTACCCTAAAATGGCAGCTAACATTTCCAAACAAAGCTTCCCTCCTGGCCTGGCCTTTTTTAGAGCTAGTGCACTTGGCACTGGCTCTCTGACTCATGGGCAAGGCCCCCACCCGCAGCTGCTCGGTTTACAGAATCCGGCAGTGGGCACAGAATGGTGGAGATGTCAGGAGAGAAACTTTCCATGACTATTTGGGCCAAGAGTAATTGCAGAGCTCTCCACCTCGTTCCAATCCCGAAACGGTTTCTGGACACATTTGTCAAACACAAGGACTGATGAAGCCTTTCACTTAAGCGCTGACCACACAGGACATCATCCCAAATGACCGAGATGACAGAGGCAAGAGGATCATGCTGGGGAGAGGAGGAGGCTGGCATTTATGTCATCAGGCCCCCTTCCAAGCATCCTGCTGCTGCTGAGCACCAGGTCCTCAAGGCCAAAGACCAATGGAGATACGGGGGTCCTGCCCTGCCTCCCACCAACGCTGCAGAGCCAGCTACCCCCACTAAGCTCCCCTGGCCTGGACGCCTCTCCCTCCTGCCCTCAGCTGGCCTGCACAGTTCTCCAGAGTGTAGCTTGGCAACGCCTGCCTGCACTTCATCCTAGCTCTGCCAACCTTGGGCAAGACAGCCAGCCTTTGGGTGCCTCAGTTTCCTCATCTGTCAAGTAGGTAAAATAAGAGTACGTACCTCACAGGGTTGTGAAGGCGAAATGAGTAAATACCACCAAAGTGCCCAGAGCAGGCCTACACAAGGTAGGTGCTCAATAGATGTTAACCAACACCACTAAGAAAGACACAGCCAGGGCCGGGTACGGTGGCTCACGCCTGTAATGCCAGCACTTTGGGAGGCCAAGGCGGGCGGATCACGAGGTCAAGAGATCAAGACCATCCTGGCCAACATGGTGAAACCCCATCTCCACTAAGAATACAAAAATTGCTGGGTGTGGTGGTGTGTGCCTGTAATCCCGGCTACTAGGGAGGCTGAAGCAGGAGAATTGCTTGAACCCAGGAGGCGGAGGTTGCGGTGAGGAAACTGCTCCGCGGCACTCCAGCTGGCAACAGAGCAGACTCCATCTCAAAAAGAAGAAAAAAAGGTCATGGCCTTCCCATGCCAACCCCCAGAAGCTCCACTTTCAGCAGCCCTTAAGAATCAGGAAAGCCTCCTCTCTGCCACCAATTCCTAATTCCCCACTATTCACCCACACCACCCATCTTCAATTTGGGAAGAGAGACAAGAGAAGAGCTGGACCATCTGGGGTCCCCACAGCCCCCCACCCGCCACAGGAGCGGTGGCTACCGTGTTCCGGATGCAGCAGGTGTAGGGCACCCCGCAGGCCAGGGGGCCGGGAGCGCTGCAGTCATGGTACTGGTTCTTGCTCCAGTCTCGGTAGTCCTCCCCGCCACAGCACTTGAACTGAGGAGGGAAGCAAGTGGGAAAGAGGAGCGGCCGTCATCGCCCAGGCCCCGCTCAGACGACAGGAAGGGGCCCTGCCCACAGACGGCCGCAGTTTATTATGTGGGTCACCTTGGTGCAGGGAGAGGCTGTACGCTTTCAAGTCGGAGCTGTCAAAGTGTGGCATGGCTGCCCCTTATTGGGATATCGGGATGGTGACTAGACACCAGAAGGAAAAGTCCTTCCTTGACAACTGGCCTCTGCCTTCATCTTCATGTCCCCGGTGCAGGTGCTGGGCTGGAAAAGATGGCCTTTAAAGTCCCAGAGACCAAGCATGATTCTGTGAAAGTCCCTGCACCTCAACTGCCCTTCGTACCCGCCCTAGGAGCCGCCCCGTCCAGCTTGGCTGGCCCTGCCCTTAGTAAGGAGGGCATCTGCACCTCACATCCCGCCTGGGGCTCTCCCCTTAGCCAAGCCCCTCCCTACCTCCCCTCCCTGCTCCTGTAGGAAGTAGTTGGTGACCCTCCTGAGGGCTGATGTGTGCCTGGCATTGTTCTGGGTACTGGAGAGACAGGGTGAGCAAAGCAACGCAGCCCCTGCTCAGGTGGAACGCATTCCAGTGGAGGGACAGAGGGTGAGCACTGGTTGAAAAGGTCAGGGAGGCCTTGCTGTGCACCCCGGAATGGAGAAATAGGGGAAGAATGGGGAGGGGCGGCTCTAGGTTGGGAGGTCACAAAAGGGCTCTCTGTAGAGAGGATATTTCATCTGAAACATGGAAACAGAAGAAGCCAGCCGATTCATGCAAAGGCCCCACGCAGAAACAAGCTTGTATTTCAGCAGCAGGTGCAGAGACCAGCAAGCCTGGAACAGAGAGAGTGCAGAGCATGAGGTTGAGAGGCGGGCACAGGCTGGACCATGTGACCTCCTTTGCCAGCCAGCTGAAGCAGGGAGCTGGGACTGGAGGGTTCAACCAGGGCTGTGGTAGGCGTCCTGGAAGCCAGACACTCTTCCAGAGTCCCCACGGTACCCCTTAAGCTACCAGGTTTTGGGACATGGAAGTGTCTTTCTGCAATGCAGTTCAAAGGGCATTTGCTTTGCAATGGAACAGAGCCAAGGTCAAATCCTCAGACCACCACTCCCTGCTGTGCAACCCCAGGCAAGCTGGTCAGCCTCTCTGAGCCTCAGATGGTTGTCTGTAAAGCAATAATAAGGATGGCAGCTCTGCACAGCTGAGCTGTGATGACGTAGAGCGTCATACATGAGGCACTCAGCCCTGGGCCTGGCACCAAGAAAGTGCTCATTCAGCATTAATCACCTCCTACCTCCATCCACCCCAGGAAAAATGAAATCCTAAGCCACCTAAAGGCGGGTTCCAATAAAAACATCTCACTCTACCCAGAGCAGAACTCAGCTCTCCCGGCCCAAGCTGGCAGGCACATCCCTGGCAGAAAAAGGCTTTCCAGAGGGCCGCACCTGTTGTGACTGAAGGGAAGGTCTGGGCCAAGGGAGCAGCCACAGCAGGTGGCCCTGTGCGTGGGGAGAGACTGGTCCCCACTGGGGGCTGGCACAGGGGCCCAGGCCAGCTGAAGCCCCTGAGGCTAGATCCTAGGAAGTCCTGCCCCTGCTGAGTGGGCCTGCAGCCCCCACTCTGCTTGTCCTCACCTGGGAGTATGTACCAATGATCCCCACAGCTGGCACTGTTGTCTCACCCTGTGACTGGCACTGTTCTAAACATGTCTCCTGAATTAAGTCAAGGTAATCCTCATGACGATGCCCCAAGAGCTTCCTGTCATTGTTCTGCTTATGCAGGTGAGGAAGCTGAGGCTCAAGTGAAGTTGATGTACAAAAGCCACCCAAGGACAGAAGTTGGCCCTACCACTGCTATTGTTGTTGTTGTTGTTATTATTATTATTATTATTATTATTACTGCACCAACAGATTTAGATGGACCTAGAGGGAAGAGATGGTGTCCCAAAAGGAACAGGATCATCATCACACTCAAGGAGGTATCATGGAAGGAAGGAAGCAGTCTGGTTCAGTGTCCCATATTTGGGGGAAACTGAAATCAGTGAAGAGCTTTCTCCCCATCAGTGCCGTCTTTAACTTGGCAAGGAGTGACTTGTCACTGAAGGGACTTGGCAGAGGGGCTCTGGACTGGGGCAGGTTGCTCGCCTCAAGGAAGGAGGATCCTTGCCCATTGGAGGGTGGTGTCCTGGGACCCTTCAAGGCTGCCTATAGCAACACCTGACCTTGTTGTGTTTAGGGATGGCGGCAGGAAGCCAGTGTAACTGGAGAGGGACAGAAGGGTAAGAAGGTGTGGGGCCAGGAATGTGGGCAGAGGACTGGCTAAGAAGGTTGGGCCCTGGCCTCCCCATCCTTAGTGGGCGGTCCACAGCCACCCTTGCCACCCAGCCTGGCCAGCCACCTGCTTTGGGAATGGATAAGTTACCCCTCACCCCATCTTCTTGCAGGGGTCCGGATGGGGAGTTAAGGGCATGGGAGGAGCATCTCTACCCTGAAGCGCCTGGCTCACCTTTTTCTGAACAAAGTCCATGATGTTTTTGAAGTCCAGATCGTCATAGTAGTTCTCAATTCCTCTTCGAATGTTGTCATTCAGGAAGTCAATGGTCTATTCAGAGGGAGAAATTACAAAGGAAAAGAACCACACACTCCCAGAGTCCATCCCAAGATTTCCCAGAAGCCTGGATGGGTAGAGAAAGCCCTGCCAGCATGGGGCGCCCCCTCCACTCCCCACCCTGAACGCCTGCCCACGACCTCCCTGCCCACACATCCTCCCATGCCTCCAGTGCTCAGCTGATGCCTGAGTCTCTGTGCTATGTCCCAGCAGGAGTAATTCACTCCACTCCCTTTACAGACCAGACAGCCCAGGCCTTCAGAGGCTGCGGCTATGCTTGGGGACACACAGCTCTGATGCAGCCATGCCTGAGCTGAGACTTGGCTGTCCTGGTTCCAGACCGGTGCTCTTTCTACGGCCCAGGATGGGCCCACACTGAAATCCTCCCTTTGCCCTCCAGAGCCCCTCTCCACACTCCTCTACCATCCAACGTCTTGTTTTACAGATGAGGAGACTGAAGCTTGGGGAGGGAGTGAGGTCACAGAGCAGGCTGGGTGGGGTCTTGCCAGTGCTGGAATTCGGGTCTGCTGATCTCCCTCAGGGGCTGCCCTCTTCATCACTGCAGCGCTCAGTCCCCCTCGGCTGGGGCTGAGACAGTCCCCGCCCGGAGGAACATGGCAGGCCGCCCTCTCCCAGCCACGCTGCACTTTCTGGATCAACAGCCCAGCTGTTGTGCTGAGATCCGAGAGCACAAAGGGCCCCACAGTAGGAAGGGGTGGGGGCAGGAGCGTGGGCAGCCCAGCTCGCTGCGACAATCGCAGCTTTCAGAGCACGGAGGTCGAGTATCACAGAGACTGCAGACAGAGAGGGCATTCTCGGCTCTGGGGCCGGACAGAAGAGCCAGACAATTCCCGGGGGTGGCACCACAGGGTACGCTGGGACAACAGAATCCTGGCTCCAGGCCCCATCACAGCTCACTTCTCCTCTTTGGGCCTCAGCTTCCCCACTGTGAACCTATAGGCCTGTCTTTAAGGTAACTTCCAGCTCTGAGGATCAAAAACCAAGTCCCAGAGGGGCTGTCAAGCCTCATAATCAAGGACACCGTCCCTGCAGCGACCCAGGCGTCAGCTACTTCTTTTAACTTCTGAGCCTCTGTTTGCTTACCCGCAAAATCAGGAGGAAAACACTCTCTGCCTCATAGAAATGTTGTGAGATTTCAATAAAAAGCTGCGAAGGTGTTTAGCAGGACACCAGGCACATCGTAGTCCTGGTGTTATTATTCTAGATTTGCGTCTATTCTTCCAGGAGACAAATACCCTCTGGCACTACGTCACACCCACGTCATTGGTGGAAAACAAATCCCATGGGAAACTGAGGCCCCAACTCTTGTTCAAAAAACTGACTGCAATCGCGGCAGCCTCCAGGGCACAAATTCTGGCTCTACTGTCACAAATATTTTGCAGCCCAGAGTGGGGTGGCTGGTCCAAGGTCACCCAGCTCGTCACTGGCAAAGAGATGCCGGGACCAGGGTGTTAACCAGCCTGACACACTTGAAGGTGCTAAGATAAGAAACCAAGGTTCAGTTTTGGGGCCATCTCCCAAAATTATCTCCAGGATCAGGAAAACAGGAACAAAGACTACAGCACCCAGTTCCCCGCTGAGCCTCCCTCTGCTCAAAGCCAAGGTAAAGAAGGAGATGGGCTCAGGGAAACCGGCCTCCCTGGCCAGAAGGAAAGCCCTCTGCTGATGATAAACAGCAGCCCTGGAACGGGCCTGGGACTACAGAAGACTGGAGCTAGCCCGAAGAGAAGAGAGGAGATGCAGGCTTCTGTGAGCAGCTCTCAACTCACCAGCCCATGGCCCTTCGAGGGCCTGGCACTAGGCCCCAGGGCAGAAGTTGGGTGGGAGGATTGCCTTCCAGCTAAGCAGCTCAGGCAGAACAAGGACTGTCGTGGCCCCAGGTCCACCCTCCCAGATGCCCCCAGGTCATGAAGCTTTTCCACACTTGGGTGCCTGCTCCTCTGGGTGATGAAGGGACAGGAGAGCTGGCTGGGATATGGTTGAGGGTGCCTAAAAAAAAGGACACCAGGGTGGGGCCAGTCTGCCAGCCAGGGTGGGGCAGCGGAATGAGCTCACAGCATGGAACGGCACCCTGGGCTGAGCTACGTACACATGGGGTGCCGCCAGGGTCAGGGCCTTACCGAAGGCCACATGTCGGGAGGTTCCTGCCAGGCGGCTTCCCCCTACTCCGGAGGCAACATAGACACAGTGCTGGCCCACCATGTCCCTCTGCACCTGCCCTGGCCCACTGGCCTACTCACAACACCCCCACTGGCCACTATGCTGTTCGGACTCCCCCAGAGCTGGCAAGTGGGTGGGATGAAGGTGGGAAGCCCAGGGCAGGAAGGAAGAGAAGCAGCAGAGTAGAGTCTGCTCTGTGGCCATGGGGAAAGGCTCTGGCTCTCTGCTGAGCAGCCCCAGCCTGCCTCCCCAAACCCTCCCGGTGCCTGGGCACTTTCCAAGGTTCGATTTCGAGAGGGGCCTCTGAAAATTAGGCCTTCCATCTGGTAAGCTGAACCCAGTTGCTGCGGAAAGGGCGGCCCCGATGGAGGCCTCTCTGAGTGGGCAGGAGCGACAGATGTCCCTGGGCTTCGTGGACAGCAGCTGCCCCCAACGCCCGTCAGGGAGCTCTTTGGGGCTCTTGCAAGTATGCGCTACTTGTGCATGTGTGCACGTGTGCATGTGTGCCAGGAGATGAGGAGGACACTGGGATGGTTCCGTGGGGGTAATGGGGGGTGGGGGGTGTGCATGACAAGATCCCATGAGGTGAGCTGGCTGTGCAGTTTACCTGTAAAGTGCTATGCCAACACTGACAGCACTGGTAACATTCAGAGACACCAGGGAGCCACTCAGAGGACAGGAAAGAATTCTAGCTTCCTCTGCCATTCCCAGAGGCCCGATGTACCCAGTACCACCGCCCCCACCCCATTCCCCTCTAAACCAGGCCATGCCAGCAGAGGCAGCGCTAGTGAGGACTAAACCAGGCTAAATTAAGCAAAGAGTAAGCAAACATCAAAGGCCACAGGGTTTGAAAGCATGTTGTTTAAAGCACCAGAGAAAGCTATGAAGAACTGTCCTTTCTAGCTTTGTCTTTTAAATCTAGTTTTAAAGATATCTGAAGCCTACACATCACCTCTCTCTCAGGGTTTTTTAATGAATGAAGAATTGAAGGGAGCGGGGCATGTGGCGGCATCTCCTCCAGCACAGAGGCCAGAGGGATAGAAAAAGGAGTGGAGGGGCCAGCGGCTGGAGCCTCCCACCAGGCCCACTGCCTGCACAGGACCAAGACCCCCTCTGAGAAAGGAGCAGCCCGGGGCTCCTCCAGGCTGCCTCTGGCTAACACCGCTTCCATGCAGCCTGAGACCTGAGGCTGGGAAGGCCCTGCTGCTGGCCTAGTGCGGACCTAGTTCTCAAACTTGGAGGACGAGCTGGTCACAGTGGCCGCTGCCTATAATCCCACTACTTTGGGATGCCGAGGCAGGAAGATCACTTGAGTCCAGGAGTTCGAGACCAGCCTGGGCAATATGACGAGGCCTCATCTCCACCAATCAATCAATCAATCAATCAATATCCAGGCATGGTGGCATGCACCTGTAATCCCAACTATTCAGGAGGCTAAGGGTGGGAAGATCGCTTGAGCCTGGGAGCTGAGGCTGCAATGAGCTGTGGGTACACAACTGTACTCCAGCCTGAGTGACAGAGCAAGGCCCTGTCTCAGAAACAAAACAAAATAAAAACTTGGAGGAGAGGTGCGTGGTCTAGGATTTTCCTCCTTCCTTTTTGCCTGGGGCCGAGCCATCATCTTAGCCTTTCCCCTGTCCCTCTAGAATGGGGACTTGTTCTCATTGACCCCACACCCTAGCCTCTGCTCCAGTCCCAGTAGAGGCCCAATCTGCCAACCTGGAGTGGAAGAGAACCAGGGAGCCAGAAGAAAAGAGTATGTGGGAAGGGGCATGTGCAGTGAGCAGCTCCCAGACCCTTCCTCAGACCTGGCCGGAGTCACAGGTTCATAACCATGGTGGGGGAGCGTTGTGTTTCAGTGTCCCTGGGACTGGGGGCTCCAGCCTCACTCCCCGACGGCCGTCCACAGTGGGGCACACCTCGGGGGGTGTCTGGCCAGACCAGCAAGGAGCACTCTCTACTTCTAGATGGCCAGCAGTTCTGCTATAGGTGGGCAGGATACACAGCTGGCCCTCCACATCCACGGGTTCTGTACCCGCAGATTTGAACAACAGTGGATGGAAAATATTTGGGAAAAAGGAACAATAAAAATAACACAACAGTAAAAAATAATACAAATTAAAGAACAATGTACCATAAACAACTTTCTACACAGCTTTTACACCGTATTAGGTATTTGGTTTTTTTGTTTTGTTTTGTTTTTTTGAGACAGAGTCTCGCTCTGTCGCCCAGGCTGGATGGAATGCAGTGGCGTGATCTTGGCTCACTGCAGCCTCCACCTCCCAGGTTCAAGTGATTCTCTTGCCTCAGCCTCCCATAGTAGCTGGGATTACAGGTGTCCACTGCCATGCCTGGCTAATTTTTGTATTTTTACTAGAGATGGGGTTTCACTATGTTGGTCAGGCGTCTCGAACTCCTGACCTCAAATGATCCACCTGCCTCAGCCACCCAAAGTGATCTGGGATTACAGGTGTGAGCCACCACACCTGGCCCTGTATTAGGTATTTATAAGTAATCTAGAAGTGATTTACGGGAGGATGAGTGCAGATTATATTCAAGTACTACACCATTTTATATAAAGGACTTGAGCATGCATGGATTTGGGTACCCTTTGGTGGGAGGGGCATGTCCTGGAGCCAATCCTCCTTGGACACCAAGGGCAACTGTATATATTCAGGTGCTTGGCTGAGAGAGCCCTGGTGCCACCTACTTTCTCCTGCCTCTGGCCTCAAGGTTGTGCCCTGAGCCAGCTTGTGCCAGTGCCAGGATAAAATAGGCAGGCTGGTGCTCCCTGCTGTTCCCTGACCACACTGTCAGGTAGGACCACAACGCCCACTAATCCTGCCCTGGTAGTAGAGAGGAGGCTGAGATGGGGGTATAGACACACCCACTAGTGCCCAGACCCTCCAAGTGCCCACATTCAGCTGCATGTGGCTGGGAGCATGAGGAGCTGCCCACCTCTGACACCTGACACCCTCAGAAGAAGCCCCAGAATAAGCTGGGACAAGAGCAGGGGTCAAGAGGGCTGAGACCCAGACAGCTGGGGAAGTCGCTCAGTCCTCCTCCAGCCCCTGGCTGGGGTCAGGGCATCATACTTCCCCTGCTCCCAAGGCCTGCTCTGTGCCCAGATCCCCAGTGCATGGCCACTTGCCCCTGTATCAGTGGAGAAGCTGCCCCAGTCCAACTGTCAGGCCATGCTGGCAGCAGAAACCTTGCCCAGGGTCAGGGGCTGGGGGAGATTTTTCCTTATATCCAGGAGTCTGTTTAGCTGGCCATAAACTGGGCCTGGGCTCCAGCCAGGAAAGCACTAACCCATAGCCCCTGGAAAGCCGCAGGCTGGCCAGAAGCTCTGCTGTCTGCACAGAGAGGCTGCCCCACGGGCAAATGGAATAAAGATTTCTCCCCTGAAGATGCTGGAAAGAGAAGCAGCATCTGGATCTGCCAGCTCCAAGCAGAGGCTCTGACAAGCAGAAAAGAGGCAAAAAGAGGGGCAGGTAGAATAGAGGAAAAGGGAGAAGCAGCCCCATGGACAAATGGAATAAAGCCTGTTTCCTAAGACTCATAAAACAGGAAGTCCCCTGGACTCCAGGGCTATAGACTTGCCTGTGGTTAGGTCCCACTGCAGGAGGCCCCGGCAGAACAGGTGTGGTCCCTGCTCCCACCTGGGCTAGAATGACAGGCACTCCCATGAACATTTTCACAGGGCCAGAACCTGGGCCATCTGAGAGCTCTGCACAACCCAGAGTGTGGGACAGCACCTGCTGCCTTGACAGCAACTGCTGACAAGAAAAATAATTTGTCTGGGTATAGGGTGCACGCCTGTAATCCCAGCTACTTGGGAGGCTAAGGCCGGAGGATCGCTTGAGCCCAGGGGTTCCAGGCTGTGGTGAGCTATGATCGCACCACTGCTCTAGCCTGGGCGACAGAGACTCTACCTCAAAAAAATAAAAATTTTTTTTAAAAAAAGATAATTTGGCCCACGGTCCTGACGCATGTCTCAGCAGTGACTGTCGATGCACCAGGACCAAGCTGTCTGGGGTGGGGAGGGGTGCAGGCTGGGCAGTGGACACAGGGAATGGGGCTTCTGCAAACATGCCCTGCTCTTCAAGCCCCGCCTATGGCAGCAATATAGGATGAGGCAAAGGAAGATTATGGGAGGAAGACGGAGCCCTGGGTTGGAGTCTGCCCTGCTCCACCACCAGCTTCTTGTGGGGCCTTGACCACGATATGCCAGAACCATGCCCACTCCTTCACATGCATTCTCTCACCAAATCTGTGAGCTCGTAGGTGTCGCCTACTAATCCAAGAGGCCAGGTAACTTGCCCAAGGTGGCACCGCTAGTATGAGGCGCGTACATCCTGCCTGAAGGAGCTGAGGACCGGGAGCCATGAGAACCTTTCCAGCTCTAAGGGGCCCTGATTCTGCAAGCCCTGCCAGGGCCGGGACGCCAGGCATCACCCTGTCAACCTGCCCCTCCCCTCACTCCTCTAGCCAGCAAACGGCCTCTGCCAGTACTGCCTCCAAAACATACAACAAATCGCCTTTTTGGCCCAGCCCCACCGCTTCCACCTCGGTCCAAGCCGTCTTACCCCATTCCCAGGATGGCCCCCACAGCCTCCCAGCTAGGCCCCCAGGTAAATTCTCAACTCCCCACTGTCCATTCCTCAACTCAGCAGCCAGGGTCAAATATAAACTGGGTCACATCACTTCCCACATAAGACTCTCCAATGGCTCCTATCACCTCTAGGCTCCTAACTCATGGCCTACAAGGACCTGTGTAACCTACCTGGCCAGCCGTTTCGACTTCACCCTCCGCCCCTCTCCACCTCACCCTCCCTCAGCCACGTGGCCTCCACACTGTTTTGCTCACATGCCAAGCTCATTTCTGCTCAGCTTCCCTCTGCTGGGACCTCACTCAGCGGGCAACTTTCACCACTTCAGCACGGTCTTCCCATCTCCTCCCCAGGCACTCTCATGTCAGCCTGGTTCATTTTCTTAGTCGCCGCTTTACTTGTTCAGTGCCCATCATTCTCAGGGCAGGTTATCTGCCCTGCTCACTGCTGCACCCACAGTTAACAGCCCAAGGCACCCACAGTGGGTGCTCCATATATTCATGGCCAATACACAAATCCACAGGCCTACCTGGTTCCGGAAGATCAAGGCCACCACGCCACCAATGAGCTCCATGATGAGGCAGATCCCCAGGATGTACATGAACTGGAAAAGAGAATTCAGAGACTCACCTGGAGCAGGGCAGAGGGCGCACTATCTGCAGGGCACTGGAAAATGATAAATCGAGTGGCCTTGCAGCAGTGCACTAGAAACCAGAACTGCTGCCCATCATGGGAGGATGGTTTATGAAGACCATGCAAGCACACGGAGAAGCGTCCCTGGGGAGCTCCTATTGGCTCCCGCGTCTCCGCCCCTTCCTCCTATAAGAACGTGGACATGGACAGGCATGCCCCAGGGAAACCCACCTCTGGAGCCAAAGGGCAGGACTCAGCTGTCCCAGCCAGAGCCTTACCTCCATTTGTCCCAGGGGTCTATGTGGAAGAGCATGCCCTTTCCCCACCACGATGAGGGGAGCTGGGCCTCACTGCCACTGAGCTAGAGGGGCCGGGCCTGGCTTAATGGGCAGACTGGGGCAGTATTTCCAGCTCCCCACAGAGACCCCTCAGATATGACTTCCCAGATCCCCCAGAGTGGGTGAGGGGGATGCCTGAAGCTTAGAGGATATGCACCTCACCTCTGCCCTTTACTAGAGAGCAGCCATTGTCCAAACTGATTTCAGCAACTTCCAGCCTCAAGCAGCACCGAAACCCTTCTGGTAGGGGATTCCCGTGTGAGGAGAGACAGTGAGGTCAAGAGACACATGAGCGCAGAGTAAGGGATCTGCCTCCTCACTACCCCCAGCTCTGCGGAGTCATCCCTCACTCCACAATAATGGGATGCAGGTAGGGTTGACTCCCCATGCCCCATCCCAGAATGGGCACATGGCCCAAGCCAGGGCCACCAGAGTATTGGGACTTTGGCCAGAGCTGGTAGGAAGGATTCCCTGGGATCTAGAACCATAAGAACTCTGCTAGCCCAAGGCAGGCCGTGACTACTGCAAAGGGAGCAGCCCCCGCTGGGAGGGGCTGGGGAGACTGCCCAACCCTGCCCAGGGGCGCCATCTAAACCTCTGGACCCAATGTGGGTTTGCTGGTTGTATGAGCTAACAACTCACCACCACCTCCTTTTATTGTCTTTGCTTGCTCTCATTTGAGTGTGGTTTTTCCTACGTGCAACTGAGGGTCCCGATGAACACAGAGTTTAAGTAAGAACAGTATTCAAATCAGCTTTTACATGCAGAAAGGGAGGTGGCCTGGGCACTCTTAGGCCAATGCTGTCAGATGGGCTGATCTAAGAAACTCTCTAGAGGAGCTGGTTTAAGGCAGGGACAAAAGAAACTGAGCTGCCCAAGGGCACACGGGCAGGCACCCCAGCTCTCCTGGGGAGTCCCAGCTGAGGGGTGGTGCGGTCCACTCACTGCTTGGAGAAGGAACAGGTTGTCACGGAGGGATGCCAGCACACCAATGAAGGACACCATGAACATGACGACGCCCAGGAGGATGAGGATGATGGCCGGAGCCAGGAAGGCACTTTCGAGGGTTTTATATTTCTGCCGCTCGACCTCTGCATAGATCCCCACGGACAGGACCAGGGCCCCGATCAGCTGTAGCAAGAAAACAGAGGGTGAGAGAGAGACTGAGGTCACTTGATTCTCCTGCAAAGATCTGGGGCTGTGGTACCTGCTGTGGGGGAGGCTTGTCCCAAGTTATAACACAGAAAGGGCCCTGTAAGGGGCTGAACTGTGTTTCCCCAAAATTCCTCTATTGAAATCCTAACCCCCAGTACCTCAAAATGTGACTCTATTTGGAGACAGGGCTCTTAAAGAACTAATTAAAGTCAAAATGAGGTCACCAAGGTGGCCCTAATCCAATATGACTGGTGTCCTTATAAGAGGAAGAGATTCCCCCTCCCCAGACCTTGGCGACAGGACCGCACAGGATGGGGCGGGGAAATAATAAAAAATAAATAAATAAATAAGAGGAAGAGATTAAAACAGACATGCACAGAGGGAAGACCGTGTGAACGCACAGGGGAAGGCAGTGTTTACAAGCAAGAGAGGCCTCGGAAGAAATCAACCCTGCCACCTTGATCTTGGACTTCTAACCTCCAAAACTGTAAGAAAATAAATGTCTGTTATTTAGGTCATTCAGTCTGGTACTTGATGATATAGCAGCCCAAGCAGACTACTACAGACCCAGTGTGGAGATGCCACTTTAGAGGACAGTAGACATCGCTTCTCAGCATTTTGGCTAAGATCAAGTGTAGAGAGTATAGATGGGTTGGGGGAAATGCTGCTGGCTGGAGGGTCCAAGAACATGGGTTCGAGCCCCAGCTCCGCTACTGGTGAACCCTTGGCTTTGGACAGGCATTTGACCATGTGAGTCTGTGTCCTCATCTGAAAGACGGGCATGAAGACATTCGCTTCTGCACTGCTCACACCACGGCTTTCACGACAGAATGAACGTGGAGACACTACAAACCCAAAAGTACAAGGCCGTGTAATGCATATGAAACAGGCAGGTCATCCAAAGGAAATTCTGGAAGTGCTCAAGGGGACAGACATTTCACACAGTACCATAATATAGAATTTACTTTCAGGATGACCTCTGAGAAGGCTAAAGGTTGGAGCAGACGGAATTTTGAGGGAATTTGCCAGTAGAATCCCTCATTCTCAACTGTTCTTTTTTTTTTTTTTTCAAGATGGGGTTTCACCATGATGGCCAGGCTGGTCTTGAACTACTGACCTCAGGTGATCCACCCACCTCGGCCTCCCAAAGTGCTGGGATTACAGGAGTGAGCTACCACACCCAGCCATTCTCAACTTTTCTAACAGTAGAAATACTGTTTTAGAACACTCCGTAACTTTCCACCAGGAAAACCCAGGCTCCTTGCTGCTTGTCAACTGCCCACACCAGGGTGTGCAGGTGTGCCCACCCCAGGGCCTTTGCACAGGCAGTTCTGACTGCCCCAGACCCCCGCATGGCTCACTCTCCCACCTCCTTCTCTTCTTCGTTCAGTTGCCACCTGCTCAGGGGGCCCTTCAGAGCCAATTTATTTACAGGTAGAAAGTCCCTCCCTGTGAAACTCCTGATCTCCTTTCTCTTTTTTATTTTCTCCTTTGCACTACCAGTATTTAACATACTACACTATTTCTGTTTTGTTTTGTTTTTTTAATCTGTCTTTCTCACTAAAACATAAGCTCCAGGAGGGATTTTTCGATTGCTTCAGGCATCCCCAGCACCCAGACATCCTGACACTGAGAAAGTATTATCAGCATTTATGATCAACGTCTGCTGAATGAACAAGGCCTGGACTTTCCAACAGACCCTTTGAGTTCAAGTCAGGCACTGTCTACCCAGTCCTCTGCCTTTCCAAGGATTCTGACTTTCTGGGCCACATGTTCTGGAGGACAGGGACAAATCATCAGATAACTGGACTTCTCCACTAAGCTGAAGGCAGCATGGGAGAGTGAGTGGAAGACATGGCGCTGTCAGCTAGGGTCCAAGGAAAGGAAGAGACGATACAGACAGATGTTGGCGGGAGGTGGCATGAGCATAGCCACCCCAGTGTCACCACACGGAACACCAAGCAGGCCGCCCCTCCAGCCAATCACAGAGCTGCCTGAGCCTTAAACTGACTTCATGGGTCTCCTTACCTATCATCATGTCCTCAAGTAGATGCCCGTGACCTCCTTCTAAAGAGGGCTAGCTAAGTCCTGAGTAAAGGGAAGTGACTGCCTCCTCCTAAGCTTGGATGCGTGACAGGGATGCCAAAAGTCAAACACGCAGACCGAGCTCATGCAGAAACACTGGATAACAGAGGATTACCAAGAAATCATCTCATTTGGATCCAGTACTCTCCTATGTTTCCAGGCTAAGTGCCATTCTCCTCGGTTTGAAAAGTTAATCCGGGATTACTGAGACCCTTCCCCCAAGTCTAGAAGGATGCCTTTCCAACACACAGGCCAGGAGGGGCTCAAGACACTGACAGCTCGGCCACCAGCCACTTACTAACAAGTTAGCTTTATAAGGCAGGACACACACACACACACACACACACACACACACACACGTACTCACTCCCTATAGGAAAAGGGAGACCATGAAAAATACCTACTTTTGGTAGAGAAAGGCAAACCAGAGACTAATTGGTCAGTCATGCTGCAAAACCCAAAACATGGAGAAATCACTGTTTGAGGATGGCCTAAGTGCCCCAGGTCCTCGGAGAGCAATGGTGAGTAGCCTTTAAAAAGCCAAGTCCGGCCAGGCACGGTGGCTCACACCTGTAATCCCAGCACTTTGGGAGGCTGAGGCAGTTGGATCACCTGAGGTCAGGAGATCAAGACCAGCCGGAACAACATGGTGAAACCCTGTCTCTACTAAAAATACCAAAAATTAGCCAGGCATAGTAGTGGGTGCCTGTAATCCCAGCTACTCGGGAGGCTGAGACAGAAGAATCGCCTGAACATGGGAGACAGAGGTTGCAGTGAACCGAGATCATGCCATTGCATTCCAGCCTCGGCAGCAAGAGCAAAACTCCATCTCAAAAAA